AATATATGAAATGTCAAATGAATGGATAAGTAAATGATCACAAATGAATCAATTGATGAATATATGATTAATCAAATGAATTGAATGTGGACAATTGAGGAAACACATTCAAAGAAAAGTCATGTCATTGGATGAAAGCCATATTAAATATTTTTTAGCAGACAATCATTACAAGTCATAGTTTGTACTTGATAAATTTTATCAAGTACAAACTATGACTTGTAATGATTGTCTGCTAAATAGCATACAACATCATATTATTACTTCATAATACTGATAACATTAAGGCAAGCTTAAAGTATTTTTGTTGTTACCAATATTGTATTGAATGGTACTAACATTATATCAAAGGAGTTGCTATTCTCAGGACGAAAAAAACAATGTACAGCAAGAAGGAGAAATAACAGCTTGGTTGGATTGAACCAATCTGAATACCCTCTCACCATGTGTTAGCATACCATATATAGGATCCTGTGGATTGCCRACTGAGATCGTTAACTATTATTATACATACTGTGAGTGACTKTGAGTATGAAATCAGCCTTGGGTGTATTTGATGCGATGACTTGTCTGTTGACAAGCCAATAATTGGACAGGCCTTGCAATATTTATACAAAAAAAAATTACTTTGAAAGATGCATTGACCTTTGACTAAAAGTGGATTGTTATTCTTCTGATGAAATGTGAAGTTTCAAGGATTACAATTTACATTGCTATGCAACGAAAATTGCAAATTCAGTGTTCAATGAAGTACGGTAGATGATACGAACGTAATATCCACAGGATTCTATGGTATGCTGCACATGGTAAATTTCCCACCAAAAAAAAACTGAAAAGAAAAGAAAAACTACACAACATGCACACATAAAACAAACTGCATCTGGAGGAGTTCTTTATTCAAGTTTGAGGTAAACCCAGTTACAACTGACACTATATAACTTTGACTAAATTGTATTCATCTCTTTCATTGTATCAGCGAAACACTTTGTCAGAAATTGCAAAAAAAGCTTGAACAAAATCATTGATAGAAGACAAAGTATTTTTACCAACTTGCACTATTTTGTTCGCAAACATTGTCATTGATGTTGTGAAATATGCACTATTAAATTTTTCAACCAATCAACAACATTAAGAAGGTTCACCATGAAATATTGCTAAATTGCAAAAGCCATAATGATAAATATTGCAATTGTCTTTTCTGACAAAAGACAAGATACCTATATGAAGTCATGAATCGTCAATAAATGGCATTTTCTGTTGTTGAAAGCTGAAAATTGATTAAAAACAAGCATATTTAACATGACATGTTTGAGAACCAAAGTCAGTTGTAACTGGGTTTACTGTAGTTGTTATACTGGGACGGGAGGTGTAAACGTCCACCATACTGAGAAAGATGGAGACCTGCACAGTTAGACTCTGCTTTATATCAACACGGCCATCATGTCTTGTTATATTGATAAGAGCTGAGAAAACAACGTCCTTGATTGAGTGCATTTAGAGTATTCTAATTATAGGGCAAATCAGTATTTTCACTCCTTTGTCTATAGTGAGTAAAGCCAACAAGATCATATAAAATATTCATATATATAGTGAAACAATCAGAATATGGTGTACCACAAACAAACTATTCACTGTTTATCTTAAAGACTGAATGCAAGGACTCTAAGGTTTTCTAAAGGCAGAGTTTAAGTGTGCAGGAATTTTGTTTGTCACTTGACATTTTGAGTTAGTAAAGGCACATTGTTTTCCTGTATTTGTGCAACTTAATTGCAATCACGGAATTAATAATTTTCAAAAATGTACAATTGCCTTTACTGGAATATAATTTTGAGTSTATATGGTCTTTGATTTTTCTTGAAACCTGAAATGATAGAACTTCTTCCCATCTTTCTCAGTATGGTGGTTGGGTCGGGGAGGGTGTTGAGTTTTTGGKTTGGGGTGGGTAATGTTTTGGGGTCGGGGAGGGGATAAACTGGGTTGGGGAGGGAGTTGCACCTTGGGTTGGGGAGGGAACTTAACTTTGGGTTGGGGAGGACGTCCTATAATATCCTTGCTCTCCTACAAGTGTCGACTTTGTTGACTACAAAGTCGACACTTGTGTAGGGGAGCCAAGGGTCACTTAATATGACTGACTTGCGTATTTCAGTTTGAATGTAAAACTTATGTTTTAACTTATAGTCTCTTTTGACTTTGTGTTTTTCACTTGTATTTTGTCTATGTTGTTTATTGAGAAATAAAGTTTGACTTATATAATATTTTTCTGTGTCTTTAATGTATTCCATCTCTATAGGGTACACGCCCATTTGACTTTAAAAAAAATATGCCTCCCCGAGGCCCCACCAGCACCAAGTCTCTTGCCACCCCTGCAGGCCTAATCTCTTTGGTAGTCTCGCTGCCCTGACTAGAGCCAAGTTATAAGGCCAAGACCAGCAAACCTAAGACTGCCCTGATACTGGAGACTGACTGCATGAATGTCAAACCTCCACCCACTGCAGACTCCAGGGGGGGACTCTGGTGTCACCCAAGCCAGCACTTAAAGTGAGGGTCAGTGCAGATGCGAGTCTCCAATGACCCCTCCCCACCACCCACTGAATAAGCATGACAGTGATGCACTGTGTGATCAATAGGCTCATCACTTAGCAACATTCAGACAACTCCGCAATAAGTTTTGATTATCAAATCTGACAGGAAGACAAAAAAGTGTATTTCTGGGATAATAAATTAAGTTAAATGTGAAGGTCAAACCTGATAAGGCCAACTACCACTATGTAATTTAATTGGAAAATCCTCCATTTAGAATTAATTTAATTAATTGCCACCATGTTGAATTAATTAAGCTGGAAGCCATTTTGAATTTATAAGTTTAACAACCATTTTGAATTAATTAACCTAGATGCCATTTTGAATTAATTAACTTAGAAGCCATTTTGAATTGATTAACCTAGAAGCCATTTTGAATTGATTAACCTAGAAGCCATTTTGAATTGATTAGGCTGGAAGCCATTTTGAATTGATTTTACCTGCCATTTTGAATTGAT